CACACAACTTGGTGTTGTCAGCAAATTGCTGTCAACAATCATCATTCCGTCCCGTCATCTGTTTCACTGACAAAGATATTAAAATGCAGGAGTATATTTTGTAATCGGTGCGTGCTGTTAACTATGTACATACACATCTCCTTAATCTTCGTTTTCTGATGTAACACTTAGGTATGAACTTCACCTACTCTGAACCCTTGTTTGTTTTCCCATGATTTGCACGTCTACTGAGAGAGTTCAGAGTCTTTGCATTATTGAGTCCAAATCTGGTCAGTGCCATCTTTAGCTCGGCTCATGATATCCCGAGCTGGCTGACTCGTGTCCTTTTGTTTCCCAAAACAGGTGCATGATGGACAGTGACGATGAAGTTCGGGACAGAGCAACGTTCTACTTGAATGTGCTGCAGCAGAGACAGATAGCACTGAATGCTGCCTATATCTTTAACGGTCAGTGATAGTAAGGGAAGAAACCTGAGCTGTTATTTCACGTTCCGTACTATGGGTGGGCTTTGTTGCTCTAAGAACAGTTTGCTGTAATGTAATTTGGGTCAGAATACCTTGAAGAGCCAGAAAAAAACACAGGGTGCTGTCTTTAGCGCTTTCTCGGGAAGTACTTATGCTGAGAACAGCAGATTTAGCAACATATGGGAAGGATTGTCTAGGAAATGGGCTTTTTTTAGTCATTGCCTGTTCCTTCTCTTGGGACAGTTTTCTTAACCTTTGTTCCATCTCCATTACAAAATGAGAATGACACATCTTGTCGCCAGGGTTGGTTATAAAAATGTTTTATGGTCTGTAGTTGAAAGTTCATGCCAGTGGAATATTTAACATATTTAAGATGACTTAACATATTGCAAGACGACTTCTTGAGAGAACTGTTTAGACTGCAGAACCCTGTGGAATGGCAACTTCTGTGTCACGTTCAGAGCATTTTTCTTACTTTGTCTACTGTCATGACGTCCTTGGCATGTGTTTTGTAATTACTGAAAGTGCTTTTGCCATGTTTTAAAGAGTCAGAGTCCAAACTGTATCTATCCAGCTGCAAACTCTAGATTCCTTGCAGGAGTGTTTTTTCTCTGCGGCCTGAGCCAACAGGCAGACCACAGAGAAGAGCTCTGTAAATAATCTTCTTGTTTGTATCTCACGAGGGAGGTAACTGAGGCACAGATAAGTGTTTCTCAGACTGGCATCTCGCTGCTTTTGATGCAGTGGGCAATCCAGAATCCACACTGTTCATTTGTGAACCCTGTGTCATAGCAGGAACTGTCAGAGCCTACAGGCACTATTAAAACTGAAGCTGTGCTTCTACTTCGCAGGGTTGACCGTCTCTGTTCCCGGGATGGAGAAAGCCCTACACCAGTACACACTGGAACCTTCTGACAAACCTTTTGATATGAAAACCGTTCCACTGGCAACCGCACCCATCTTTGAACAGAAAGCAGGTAACGCTCGGGCTTCATTGAAATCGGGTATAGGCAAGGCTGTAAGCATTCCGGGCGCGGCAGGATACTTGACATGTGTAAACGGCTGCTGCTCCAGTAGGGTCAGGCCAGGCCTGGAGGCGGCTCAGCTGGATGCCATTCAGCTTGCGGTGTGCAGAACCAAGCCCGCCTGCTCTTCGTGGATAAAGGCATACAGTGCCTCTTCCGAAGGAATACGGGTTGGCAAGAGTGTCGTTACTCGTTCTGTTAATCTTGTTATTGGGGAGGAGTTTGTCCATTGTCAGGATTTATTCGTTCATAGATACTTGAAAAAAGTGCATTCCAGCATGGCTTACTCACCTCCCTGGCTTTCTTCCATGTTTGTGCACAGTTGTTGCATTTTGACAGCGCAGCTTTTTAAGAAAATGTTTGGGGTTTGTTTTTTCTTTTCTCTCCCTTCTTTCCAGCTTTTTTTCTGCTGGCTGTTGTGGACTAAAGTTTGGTTTCTTCATCATTACTCAAACATCCTTCCTCTTCTCTCCTTAGAATCCAGTATTACCCCACAGAAAAGAGGTCTCGGGGTGTGTGTGAGGTGGGAAATGGTTTGCAGCAGAATGTGGGAAACACTACAGGCTAAGGAATTTTTAGTGGCGATAGAATGGCATTTAAAGCTCCTGCACGGTGTAGCTGACAGCACAATGTCTTTGCTTTTTTCCTCACAGAGATTGCCCTAGTGACCAGCAAGCCCGAGAAAGTCGCTCCTTCGCGTCAGGATATATTTCAAGGTGTGAGAGAAGATCAGTGGGTCTCCAGCACTTGAAGTGTTGGGAGGATTGCCACAGGTCACGCGGGAGCGGGGCACGGGCCTGTCACTAAGTGCCTGTCCTTTTCCTTTCTGTGCAGATCAACTGGCAGCTGTTCCAGAGTTTAAGACCTTGGGTCCGTTATTCAAATCTTCGGAACCAGTGCAGCTCACAGAAGCAGAAACCGAGTATTTTGTGCGCTGTATTAAACACGTGTTCACAAACCACATCGTTTTCCAGGTCAGAGAAGTCTGGGTGCTTTTGCCATGGTGCAATAGGAGCTGGAGCTTATTGATGCCTGGGCGTAGCGTAGACAGTGTAGTGGCTGTGCCTTGGAGAGGACAGCTGCTCTCTTAAGGGAGTTGGAAGGTAGAATTAAGAGGGTGTGTGCTGCTTGCTTCAACAATCCAAAAAGGTTGGGGGTTATGATCCCGTCTGTTAAAGAATTCTAGTAAATTGGAGAGAAAAGCTGTGAACGGCAGACTTGATCAAAGCTCTGGGATGCCTGCTGTGTGCTGTGGAGTATTGTAGCTGATGTGGGGAGAAACTCTTGATTAGAAATGCTTCTTCTATGTTCCAATCCTTTTCCAATTTATTCTTCTGCAGTTTGATTGCACAAACACATTAAATGATCAGCTGCTGGAGAGAGTCACCGTGCAGATGGAGCCGTCGGACGCTTACGACGTGATCTGTTGCATCCCGGCACCCAGCCTGGCTTACAACCAGCCGGGCATGTGTTACACTCTTGTCCAGGTTCCCCAGGATGACCCCACGGCAGGTACCCTGTGGGAGGGAGTAGTGATAAATCCCTCAAGTTTTTAGAGAACAGACAACAGAATGTTTAGAATGTGGGATTTGGCAAGTGCCTACTGAGATTCTAGTACTGTTTCTTTGTGTCACACGTGCTGGGTTTTATGTAGAACCTGTGTGTTTGCATACACACTTTTTACAGATCAGTGTGCATGCTTTTTAACTAATCAGTGGTATTGGATGATTAGAAACGGGAAGTTTAAGACGACTGGAGAGTGTGCGGGTAATACAGGAAAATGAATTTATTATCTTGAGTCAATGAGAGGAGGGCCTGTAAAAATCTGGATGTTTGCTGGGAGTAGTCAGGAACAGAATCAGTAAAAGGAAAATAAAAGGGTTTGGTAGTTTGGATCTCCACCTATCTGGCTAATGCAATTTTTCCTCTCTAAAGAGAATTAGAAACAACTATGAAATTTAGGAATGATGGATTTTCTTGGGCATAAACCTTCCCTTTCTTGCTTTTATTATTCACACTTAAATTCCATTGCACTTGCAGTTGGTTTAACATGACTCAGCATGTCAACAGGGTGGATTTCTTTGGTACTGCTTTAATTCCAGAGAAGAGCAGAACTAGTCTGAATCCCTTGGGCTGTGGTTTTGGATCATAATCCACCGGTCAGAAACCTGTGCAGACTTTCTCTGGAAACTGATGGTGGGTGGATCACACCACAGCACTCGGCGAGTCAGCAGGCCGTGTTACACTGTGACCCTGGCAAATTTGTCCGCTGAGACCCTCTTTTGGTTTTCATCTTAAGAGTCGGGGAGGGGAGATTTTCTGTGAAGTTGAAATAGTGCTCTAACTACAACTATGTCATACCTTCTGGACAAAGTTAATGCACATGTTTTCCAGTCCCTGACTGGGAAGTGAGGGCTCAAGCAGAAAAAAGCCTGCACCACTAACCTCTACGGGCTTTTTCTCTCCTCCGCAGTTGCTTGTACTTTCAGTTGCACGATGAAGTTCACTGTTCGAGACTGTGACCCCAACACAGGAGTGCCAGAAGAAGATGGCTATGACGATGAGTATGTGGTACGTTCAGGACTGCTGCGGTTTGGTTTTGTTTTCCACGTCACTGATTCTGAATACACACGACCATTGGGTTGGCGGTTTCCTTTCAGATCTGAAGCCGGTAGGAGGGAATGGCAGGCCTGCCTGAAACACCATTTCCAAAATACTGTAGCGTGTAACTTTAGATCCTCCCCCAACACCTTGCTTCTCCTGAGGGTTAGTTTAGCTTTAGTGCCCTATGGAGATAGGATTTGTGGGGACAGACAGGAAGGAAGGAATAACTTCCACTATCTGTTTTCAGAACTGTGGCCCATTCTTTCTCTCCAACCCAAGCATTTGCGCATCTGTTTATTGAATTCATGTTGTCCGTGACTGAAATACAAGTTGCGTCTCGGGAAAGTGCTTGTCTTTTGGGCTTGGAGGAGGTAAAAGCTCCTTCTGGAGTCTGAGAAAGTCTCTCTCCTCGGATACCCAGTAAGAGCATCTTTGAACTTTGACACACAAAGCAATTGCCCCATTTTCTGCTCTCCTTTAGTCTCACAGATGGTTTTGTGTAGATGTTTTCAAGCTGTACAGATGATTGCCATAAGGGATCACTGTTATTACGCACTCCTCCTGAAATTAGAGCCAGGAGTGCCCAGAGTGTCTTGGCAAAATGCTGCTGCCTCTCTTTGTCTTTCTTTCCCTTTCTAAGATGAGGATTGTTTCTGTAACTGCCAGCTGAAAATCTCCCTTGCTTTTCTGTCAGTTAGAAGATTTGGAGGTGACCGTGTCCGATCACATCCAGAAGGTTTTAAAGCCTAACTTCGCAGCTGCATGGGAAGAAGTGGGAGAGGACTTTGAGAAAGAAGAAACCTTTGCGCTTAGTTCCATTAAAACCCTTGACGGTGAGATGATCTTTCCTCATCTATTGGTGACCCACATAGTAATCCCTAAATCTGCCATGCTGGGGGTACACCTAGTGTGGTAGGGGCAGAGTTTGGTGCCTTCCAACGTGACATCATGTCCCAGCAACAAGGCTTTGTGTTGCAACGGTGGGATTATAGCGAGTGGAAGTGTGGCAGTGCTGTCTTGCTTGAGGTGGGTTGAAGGGAGGGGTGCATTCCTGGCCTGTTAGGGTGACAGGAAGGATGTCACGCGGTAGATGTGTTGATGGGGCTGCAGCTAAGATAATGGATAGAAATGGTTAAGTCACATGGCTGCTTAGAGACAAAAACTAGTTCTCGCAGAAAGCTGGGCACCAGCCTGGAGGTGTAATTTTCTTCTTCAATCTCTGAATGCAGAAGCTGTCAATAACATCATCAAGTTCTTGGGCATGCAGCCCTGTGAGAGGTCAGATAAAGTGCCAGAGAACAAAAATTCTCACACGCTCTACTTAGCTGGTAAGTATTCCTACTATTGACTCGATGTTTCCATGTGCCTACGGATATTTCTTTTTGTTAACTAAATGAAGGGAAATGGGTTAGGAGATTCTGCTCTTACAGAATCACAGAATGGTTTGGGTTGGAAGGGACCTTAAAGATCATAGAGTTCCAACCCCCCTGCCATGCACAGGGACACCTTCCATAGCCCAGGGTGCTCCAAGCCTCATCCAGCCTGGCCTTGGACACTTCCTGGGATGGGGCATCCACAGCTTCTCTGGGAACCTGTCCCAGTGCCTCCCTACCCTTTCCAGGAAGAATTCCTTCCTGATGTCCCATCTCAATCTCCCTCTTTCCATTTAAACCTGTTCCCCCTTGTCCTGTCACTCCCTACCCTGCTAAAAAGTCCCCCCAGTTTTCTTGTAGTGCCCCAAGCACTGGAAAGACCAACCCTTCCCTTCTCCAGGCACAATACGATACCTGTTGCCTTCTCTCAAACTGTGCTGTAAGGTCACCCTGGACCCTTCCCTTTTCCAGGCACAATATGATACCTGTTGCCTTCTCTCAAACTGGAAGTGAGTTTCAGCTACCCACTTTCTGGTTTCTACCTATTTAAATCAGCCAGTCCTCTAGCAGCACTTCCTGTTTAATTAGGACAGAATCTGTTATCTTCAGTCTTGACCTAAGAGCTTAGGGTTTTTTTGGGTTTTGGCATTTTTTTGTCATTTCCCTCCCTCTCTGCAGCTGCCCATAGACTGAATCTGTCTTGCGCTCAGCAGGTGGTTGGCTCCTGGGTTAGGACAGGGTCACCGAGCCTCTCTTGTAACCTCTCGAACATTGCTTTGTCCCTAGGCGTGTACAGAGGCGGCTGCGATGTGCTGGTAAGGTCCAGGCTTGCGCTGGGAGATGGCGTGACCATGCAGGTGACAGTTAGGAGCAAGGAGGAGACACCCGTCGATGTCATCCTGGCTTCTGTAGGCTGAGTCTTGCTACACACCGACGGTGGTGGAAACCTCTGCCAGCACCGCTTGGGTATTTACCGAATGTCAAGCAGCCTGTCCGTCCTCCTGCATGTAGTTTTTACTCCTCAATTTGGTAAATATTTTGTATGATGTGGCAGTAGTGGCTGGCTGGTACTGAGCCTTTCCCGTGTCCCTTCCCTCGTTGTCACTTACGCATTCCCTTCTAACTTATTGCATCTCTGGCCGCTCGCAGTAGGGCGGGGAAGAGAAAAGATGCGGGTGGTAAGAAAACGGAATCGGACTTTTGTCAAAGCTGCTTTTTATTAACAGAAAATAAACACTGGTCCAAGTGGTGGAATTCATACAAATTACTGTTAATAAAATAGACATTTCTTCTTCTAATTCTATCCACTTCAGTACAGAAAAAGTAGCCCATAATGGCTGTTTACTCAGAAGCCCCTTCTTCCTAAAGGGATGTGGTTCAATTTCAAACATAAGCACTTAAAAACCACACACACCTCTAAATTTACAATTTCATGGTGATTGTCTCCTCTGTTCCACACAGAAAAATCAATGTACAGAGAGAGAGATCAATCCTGACCTTTCAAAGCATGTTCAGTTCTCTGAGTCTTAGGTCAGATAATACCAAATAACGCAGCCTTTTCCTGGGCTCAAAGATACAAAACATCCTGTATCAAAAGTTGTGAAGAGAGGGGAAAGGAGGGACCTTGTGGTGCCTTCCTTGGGAGGGAAGTTCTGCACCTCTCTGCTGATGAACTGTTGTTTCTGTAGTTAGCAAGTCAGGGTGAGGAAGGAAGGGGTATTGTCGTGATGCTAATTGAAACACTGGTCTCGCGTCGCTATTGCTTGGAACACCTTGGCTTTCGCTAGTGCCGGTATTGCGTACGCAGTTTGCTCTGCTGAAACAGGTACGAGCCTGCCCTGGTAGAACTGTGTCCTACAGCCAGGCTGCGGCCGAGCTCCGGAGACAGTCCCAGGGCTGTCAGGCATCAGTGAGCTCTGCTTGTTGAACTGCACATCAGAGAAACAAGGGATGTGGTAAAAAATTGAGGTTTAGAGCTTGCCTTTGAGTAACTGACCATTAAAATGAGATTTCCAAAGGCATAATTACAGTGCTTAAATGCCCTTTGATGGGTGCAGAGCATCACTGGGAGATTACAGATCCAGCTCTCCTGCTGTATTTAGTGCAGGCGAATTCAGTTTCAAATTCTTCAGTCCTGACAAGCTGGCCAAATAGTAAAACACGTAGCAGAGGGTGATATTTAAACTGCGTGCGCACAACTCCCACCAGCCTCTGCTTCACCTCAGGTGCCCCTGTTCTCCCTTTGCCTCCTGGCTCTAAATTCAGGGACAGGCCGCTCAAAGAGCAAGGTGAGTGCAGGGCTGAGAGAGCTGTCAGCACCCTGTAACCCCACTGAGGCCAAGAGTTTTGTCCACGCCTCCCTGCAGGTTAATCTTTTTCCAGTGCTCAAAGGATTTAACTGCATAAACGCAGCAGTTTGGCAGCCAAAGGTTAGGGTATTAGTGCAAAGTGTTGGAGCTGGAGATAAAATCGAGATGTCTTCCTGCCCTGACTCAAACAGAGAGCGAGAACTGAGCTGCAGCAGCTCAGAAGGAGTTGATGAAGTTGAGATGCGCATTCAGGAAGCCTGTCGGATCCTCCAGCTGGGGATAGTGGCTAATGTGGTCGTCCAGCACCGACACCGTGGACGTGGGAAGCACCTTCCTGTTGGAAGAACGCAGCAAGGTGTAAGCACAGGAACTGCAGCGGGCTCAGCCTGATGCTACCGGTGAGGAGGAGAGTACCCTCCTGCACAGTTGGGATTCTGCCTGAAACATGGATTTGGGACAAAAACGCCTGTAGCACCTAGGGTTGACTCTCATCCAAGTGCGGGGTTAGCTTGGAGAAGACTACCTCAGTCAATAAATCTTCCCTCTGTCTGATGTGGTTTTAAAACGCACGACTGATTTGACTGAGAATTGTGGCTTTTGATGCCTAAAATGCGGAAGTGATTTCCCAACTGCAGAAGGCTCCGACTGAATTACCTGGCTGTACAGGTGGGAATTAAAAACCAACCTCCGTGAAAAGGGAACTGAAGGAAAAGTCCCTTGAAATGAAACCCCAGCTGCGTATTCCCGCTTTGCGGTGGCTATTGTCTTACTTGTAAAGCTGAAGAAACTCTGGGTGCGGATTCACGGGGTCCAGGGGCCCGTAGATGAGATGCACTGCAAGAGAGAAGCACGGACAGAGCTTGTATACCCAAGGATGCCCCTAAACTGAGCGGAGGAGACCTGTTGCGTCCGTGTCCCCTCACATGGAGCTCGGGAAGCTTTCAGCACAGGACTGCAAACCCGACTGCTGATGTGGCTCTTGCTTCTCTGCCCTGCGGTCAAGTTCAGCCTCCAACCCTCCTCCTGCAACCACCATGCCTTTCCTTGAGTGCTCACAACTTCTCTTGAGCTTGGAAAGCTCCTCTGCTTCCCCGGGGGGAGCAGCTGGAGAAACCTGAGGCTCTGAACCAGCCTCTAAAGGAAAAGTTTCTTCTGCTCAGTGGAACAAACTCTTTTACCTTAACAAGCTCACGGCTCTGCGCTGGAACCGAGCCTTAAACTGGAGCAGGGGACTTTGCTACCCCTTACACAAACCAAATTTGAGCCGCTTCATCCTCATCAGAATAACGAGAGGCTCCAGCGATTAGTGGAAGGAGCCAGCGCCACACTCCAGTGCCTGCAGGTGAGGGAGGAGGGCGATTCCCAACATCCCGGCCAGTAAACCAAAGAAAAGGGATTCCTACTCACGTGGAACGGAGGTGGACATCAAAGCCCCAACCCAGCGGTCTCTGTGCTTCTTTCTCTGGTTTATGTACTGCAAAATACTGAAGAGAAACCTGTTACGCAGTGGACGGTGCCTCCGGGGCCTGCACAGCCTGGAAATTGCTCTTAGGGCAATGTACGCCTGTGCGAGACCAGGGTGGAATCTGCGTCTCCCACAGCCCACCTCCGTGGGGCAGCAGTGACACAAAATCGATCTGCTCACCCTCCCTGAGCTGAGCGAGCTGCCTAAGCTGTGGGGTTCTTTCTTAATTAGTTAGACAGCAAATGAATCACAGAATCACAGAATGGTTTGGGTTGGAAGGGACTTTAAAGCCCAGCCAGCCCCCCCCCCTGCCATGGGCAGGGACACCTTCCATAGCCCAGGGTGCTCCAAGCCTCATCCAGCCTGGCCTTGGACACTCCCAGGGATGGAGCATCCACAGCTTCTCTGGGCAATCTGTCCCAGTGCTCCCACCCTCTGCAGGAAGAACTCCTTCCTGATATCTAATCTAAACCTCCCTGCTTTCAATTTAAACCCCGTTACCCCTTGTCCTGTCACTCCCTGCCCTTGGGAAAATCCCCCCCAGCTTCCTTGTAGCCCCCCAGGCACTGGAAGGGGCTCTGAGGTCTCCCCGGAGCTTCCCTTCTCCAGGCTGACCCCCCCCAACTCCCCCAGCCTGTCCCCAGGGCAGAGGGGCTCCAGCCCTCGGCGCATCTCCGGGGCCTCCTCTGGGCTCGCTCCAACAGCTCCGTGTCCTCCTGCTGTTGGGGCCCAGAGCTGGAGCAGAACTGCAGGGGGGTCTCCCCAGAGCGGAGCAGAGGGGCAGAATCCCCTCCCTCGCCCCCCTGGCCACGCTGCTCTGGATCCAGCCCAGGATGGGGTTGGCTTTCTGGGCTGCCAGCACACACGGCCGGCTCATGGCCAGCTCCTTGCCCCCAGCCCCCCAAGTCCTTCCCCTCAGGGCTGTTCCCCATCCATTCTCCTCCCAGACTATCCTTGTGCTGGGATTGCCCCAGCACAATGAGATTGGGACGCTGACTCTGGGTCTCACCCCTGCCAGCTCTGTGCCCCAAGTGCAGAGTCCAGTTCAGAGTCCTGCTGAGGGTTGACCCAAGTTCATTTAGGAAGAGGGAAACAGCCCATTGTCTGGGGACGGTAGAAGACGGAGTCTGAATCCATCCCAGCAAGTTTGGGTCCTTTGCTCCCCGTCAAAGGCCGCTGGGGTTGTAAAAGGGGGTAAATCATCATAATCCCTGTTCCAGGTGGTGCAGTAAGTGACAGCAGGCTGCTGTCAGCTGCAAAAGAGCACCCCAAGGTCAGTTACCCCTCAGCAAACTCCAGGCTGCCTCGCTGGGGTGGCAGAGCAGAGTGGGTTTGCACTCAGATGCTCCAAACCAGATGGGAAATCAGCCTGCTAAAAGCCAACGCACTCAGCGCCGCCCGAGTGCTCCCGCGCTCGGCTCGCCGGCAG